AATAGAAAGATATAACCATTTTTTTTTTTAAATTCTGATAGGAGTGATGTGTGGCCGATGATGTGTTTTTATATTATTAATTTTTAATTTTTTTTGTTTTTGTCATCACAGTATTTTGGGTAGTACAACTGCTTCGATTTTCTTCAACAGTATAGGTACCTATCTCGATCGACGGGAAAGTGAATATAGTTGGTTCATTCAGAAGGTCCAAATTTAAAATTCCAATAGTTTTAAAATCGCCTAGATTAACAAAATAAAAGTTAAGGAAAAACGGGAGTTTTTAAGCAAAATCAGTTTTTGACAAAATCAATTTTGGTTTTTGGTGTAACTCTAAAAAAAAAAACCGTAGATACATGAAATGTTCACTGAATGTTCATATTAGCATTAATTTCTGTACACGATAAAATTCACACGATAAAAATATTTTTTCTTGTTTTGAGCTGTTTACGGACATAATAAATTTTCAGTGTTTTTAGTTTTTTTTTCTATAATATGGCCAATAAAATTTTATTTTTTGGGTAAAAAAGCTTGGAAATTTAATACAAGGTTCTTAATATATTGTTACAATGACATTTGAAAAATATTAAATATACAGTCACAATTTTTTCTTATAAGCATTTAAAGTTCAAATTTTGACAAAATACGTAAAAATCACGAAAATGTGTAATTATTTTTGAGTTAGAAATACATAAAAATTTTATTTTGAAATCTAACATTTGAAAATGTTATACAAGATTCCTCATAAGTACCTATGTCTACCTTAATCAAAAAAAAATTTTAACCGGAAAGTCAAATTAAATTTTGACATTGTTGGTTAATCAGTATTCTCTCGATTTCTTATGAAGGTACATGCGATTTTTTATTTTTTTGTAATTCAAACACAAATAACGGTAGATACTTGAATTTTACACCATATAACCAGAGCCGTGTTAAGGGGGGGCAAAGGGGGCGATTGCCCCCGGGCGCCATAGTTTTGTAAAAGTAAGGGGCGTCGTTATTTGAGCTTAATATGCTACTTGGAGCCCAAATTCTAGGGAAAGGACTCGAATTACCCCGGGGCACAGTATTGCTTGACACGGCTCTGCATATAACAACTTATCAATTCCCACACTTGATAAAATGTACAAAATATTTTGATCTGTTTTAAGCCGTTTACGGACATTTTAAATTTTTTTAGTTTTTTTTCTTTAATTGTCAATGAAATGTAATTTGTTGGGCCAAAAAGCGTCAACATTTAATACAAGGCTCCTCCTATATTTTTACTTTACTAGTTCAAAAATGTTTAAAAGAATTTTGACAAAATGTGTCTGTCTGTCTAATTTTGAACTTTAAAATTATTTTGTAGTTAAAAATGTATAAAATGTTTAGCTTTTATAGCTAAAGATTGACAATTTAAAACAAAGTTCCTCCTAAATAGGTAAATAAATTACTTTATTCACAAAAATATCATCAAATATACTTCGTAATATTTATAGCTTGACTGACTGTCTTAAGACAAAGAGAATTAGCTCAGAATCGTTTTTCTTATACAATAATATTGTATCATTGAATTCAAATTTAAAACTATTCATTACAGACTATATAGTGATCAAATTGTAAGTTGTAACCTATGTACAGCAGAGAGACACCCACTTTCCCACCTTTTTTTGTTTGAGCACCCCCAGTTAAAATCTTCTGGATCCGCGCCTATACTGTCTAGATAAATACCTACCTAATTGTAATTAATGTGTTAAATTTGAATTCAATGATATACAACTCATTACTCACTTATTAAATTACCAACCATAAAAAACCAACGAGAAAATACAGATAATGTTGTTAGGTACCTACTCAAAAGTTTTTATTTATTTAATTTTAAATATTAAATCAAGAGTAAGATGCTTGCGTTATAATTTATTGCTTTTAAATTTTAATAAAACTACGGAAATGATGAGAATTCCTATATTATTATATAAAACAATGTAGGTATATCAATTCTTTCCGTTTTTTTTTAACTATCATAATTTCTGGTATTTAACATGATATTGTTATATATTTTTTAATTTTATACTAGGTATTTCCTCTCAATCGGCTAAATACTTAGGTCTGACAATTGACCGTCGACTCACATATTCATATCATATTAAAATTAAAAAGCTAGCCCTAAATGCACGACTCCGCATCCTCAAAACTCTAATTACCTACCAAAAACAAACACACTCTATTAAATACTAAACTCTTAATTTATAAATCCTTGTTTAAGCCTATGTGGACCTATGGTCTTCAACTCTGGGGCAATGCCAAAAAATCTAACACTAATAAAATTCAAACCTTCCAAAATAATATCCTTCGTAAAATCACAAACTCTCCTCCATATATTTCAAACCTAACTTTACACACCGATCTAAAAATTAAAACAGTCCACGAAGAAGCAGTAACCTTTTACAAACGTATCCACTCAAAACTCCCTTCTGATACCAACCCCCTCATTTCAAACCTTGCCACATTCACAATTCCTGGGAACCCTCCTAGGAGGCTCAGAAGAAAATGGTGTCGAGATCTTCTCAATGAGTAACACACAATAATGAGCAAACATTATAGAAAAAAAAAATAAAAAAATATATCAAGTAAGGGTAGTGTAACCACTGGGTGACTCCTCCCATCACATTTTCATGTTATAAACTTTTTTTAAAATATCGCATATTCTTATTGTTTCTAAAAGAACAGATTGTATATACCTTATAAAGAAAAAAAAAAATACTAGTTATATATTTCTGTTTAGTACCTAGTTAAACTACTGTTACTAAGGAACATATATTATTAATACACAAATGTAAATTCCAAATACCTACAGATATTTACAATTTTATAATAGTTACACAATTTTAATTTAAAAAATGAACAATAATAATGATAATAATTATACGTGTAAAATTAAAAACAATGCTCCAGCAAAGACAGAAATAAACAATTTACATAAGGAGTAAGTGTACTAAATCAATAATGAGATTTAATCTTATTTAATTTATTTATTTACAAATTAACAAATGAGGAATCAAACAATTTATAATTTTAAATGTATTATAATACATCGTATCCGCATTCGCATGTAATGTCCATATCGATAATCTTACAAACGGAAATGAATAAATTTCAAATAACCAAATTTGTGTTGGGCTACAACAGTCTTAAATAGGTTTTTTTTTAGTAGTGTTAGATCGAAGCCCTACCCCTCCAATCACATTAATCATCACAAATGTTAGCCCCCCCCCCCCTACGACATGTCCAGATGTCCTAAATAATAATCTTACCTTTAAATACCTTTATCTTACCTTTAATTTAAAATTAAAATTTAGTCAAAATTCATTAAAATCACAAAAATATGAACATTATTTTGTAGTTAGTTCAAAAATTATAAAAATTTTAATTTTTATAGCTAAGGATTGAACAATGTAAGTAGTTCATACTTCAATACAAATCTAAAATATATATAAGCACAGTTTTGTTTGTATAGATATTTTAAGTTCATATTATAGGTAGGTACCTATTTAAACAAAGAATAACAGTTTTAGTTATTTTGTTCTAATTTAAAAATATAATTCATGGGTACATGAAACTTGTGATCAACATTTCAAGTTTAAGGCTTAAATGCTGAAAACTTTAAGCTGAATATAATTTCCCAGCGTTTAAATAATTACAATTCATCATGGTCTAAAAATTCTTTGAACTCATATCTCATTATATATATTATTTAACCTTTTCATTAGTTAGTACGGTTTTTTTTATAATGCTAATATTATGCTATTCTTTAGCACTGTGCTTAAAAGATATAATATTATTTAACATAAAACAAATTATTAATAGCTAAGTTTAAAAGTTCTTAGCCCTAAATTACTTAAAAAAATCTCTAAATGTGCTTGTCAAGTGTGCAAAGAGCACACTAATATTCAGTTTAACCTCTGAAATATGTGATTCAGCTAACACAAATACTTTTAGTAATATACAAGAAAAACAACCCAAAACTTGCCAAGAATTGTGGAGAAGGTGTGAAGTATTGTGTTCGTCAATTAACCCATTGGAGAGAATGAAGTATCAAGAAAATGGATGTTGTCGCATGTCACCTGTACCTACTACAGATGATTTTAAACCATTATTTGAGCCATTGTTTTCCAGGAGAACAACATTTGCATTTTATAAAGAAGTATTCCATGTGGTAATAAAGCTTAATGACTAAAAAAATCATAATTATTATATTAATATATTTATTTAGGACCAAAGATGTACGTGTATGAAATTCAATGGTATTGAAGAAGAATGTAAACATCCAGAATGCAAACAGAATGTGAAATGCTTAAGCTTACCATTAGCAACATGTTCACCAGCTGAAAATTGGAAAAAATACTACGGACAAACTTCATAATTTTGTATACGCTAATTGAAACAATATTTATTATAAAATTACTTTATTCTATAATTATGATTACTGTATAATATAATTACATAATAATAGTATAATCATATAATAATTATTGTTCGATCTGTGTATAAAAAATTATTTAATTATGAAGTGTATCTGTAATATTTTTTCCAATTTTCAGCTGGTAAATATGTTACTTAAGCCCTTCAAATAAAGGCTAAATTAATATTTTATCTAGACACCTTTCTACAATAAAATTATCTGCATCTAATATATCCATGTTTTGAATATTAATCATTATTATGTAGTCCAACAATGAAAAAACCTTAAATGTCCTCATAAAATAATGAACAATAAACCTACAGAGTAAGAGTATTCATTTCAATATTTCATTGTAATAGTTGTAGGATAGTTTTCATAAATAAAAAAAGTCAGTAATACTGTTTTTTACTCTTTACTATTTATATAATTTTAGACATGTTTACATGTGAATTTGAATGGTAAAAATGTTGTATTCCTACAAAATAATATAATTTCTAGATACAATAAATATATTGTATACAATCTGAAGAAGCATTATTAACTTTAAATTACAGGAATACATTTATAACTTGATGTCATAACCAATTAAGTGCCTCTTTCCTATACATTCACCAACGTAGAACCACATATATACTTCGATAGCGATGAGTGATTTGAGTGTAGCATCCTGTAAAATTAAATAAAATATATTTAAAAATAGAAGTATGTATTAATAAAAATGGCATGCATAACAATTTTATAGCCAAACACATTCATTATAATAAAATATTTGATTTCAATAAATAAAACTATTGGTACATCATTATTTAAATATAATTAATTAGTGTTACCTAGTCAGAAATAATCAATAGTATCAAATTACATATTTTTACAGATTACTAAATTAAAAACATTGAAATTGAAACTAAGGATGAGGATATGCTATTATATCCAGTGCTATAAGATTGGGGGGGGGGGGTAGCACAGCTCCCCTACTATTTTTTTTATTTTTTATTTGGGCCCCCTTGGACGGTACAAACTAATGTCCGAAATAATTTTTATTCAAATGTGGATTTCAATTGATGTCAATTATATTATAAGGAGTTTTACTATTTCCCATATCAATACTATTTTTGATATTAGTTTATTAATTAATTATAATATCACTCTGCGATTTGCCTATATCGTTCTATGTGTTATGCCTAGCCAGTAGTTCACAGATCATAGATGGTATATTAGGCACAGATACTGGTGTGTGATAATACTATCTTAAATTGTGTTCCGAACATAGAGTAATATAAATTGTATTATTTAATTTGTAATATTACTAATATTCAAAATGTATGTAAGGTAGGAATGTGGTGGGGGGGGGGCAAGGCCCTCACGGGTCTGTGTTGAATAATTGCGTCTTGGAAAGCAGTTTTTAAATGGTTGGATTAAGCTCCTCTAGTTAATTTTTCCCAATTCGAACACTGATTATATCAATTAAAATTTCAAATAATTGTAAGGTTTAAATATTAATTATCAAGACTCAAGCTGTTTTGGACCAGCGTTTCTCAACCTCGGGGTCTCATCGGTCAGAAATAATTAAACACTGATTTAGAAGAACAACCTTATATTGACAAATAAAAATGAATATGTATCATAATGATAAAAATTAGTTTATAGTATAAATACACTATAAACTATGAATAATAAAGTAAAAAGTATAAATTAATGTGACATTTGAGATTGTTTCATATTATAAAGGTTTTTATTATAAGGGGTGTGAGGGGGAAATTGTGGAATATAAATCCCCGACACTAGGAAAAAAAGTGAGGTGACTACTTTTATTTTTAATTTATTTTGGGGATCACAAGTTAAAATAATCATTAATAAACATTAATAATAAACATTTAAAATATCACATGAACCAACCTTAACGGTAATATTTTTCCAACGTCCAGTTCGAGCTGTTTGTATCATTTTAGAAATCTCGTTTTTAATTTCTGGCAAGTCAGATAATTTGGGTGGAGTTAACTCTACTTTAGCATATTTCACAAAAGTTTGTAAGTTGGGCTTGGCTGTGGCAATGAATGCTAAATAATATTATAAAAACATATTATTAAAATAAAAATTTTATTTTTGTGAATTAACATTTGTAATTGAGTTAAGGAACTAATACTTACAGCTAATTAAACCAACTTTCTTGACTGCCCCGCTCATTTTGATGATTTTTTAATTAACAAAATAGGTTTAAAATGTTTAAATTATTGTAAAATACAAAATGAAAATGTAAATGATCAACGAGGTCTCAAACCAAAGGGGTAGTACGAATTACGAAGAATGAATTATGAATGTCAGGTCAAGTGATAAAATAACAGCTGTACAACACCACAACCAACAAATTGGTGATAAAGACGTTCTAAACATAATTCAAAGATGTTCTAAAACTAATCTAATCAGATTTTTTATTTGGCGCTAATAAAGAAAATAAATAATGTAAAGATATTAAAACAATATACACTCTGTGCATAGTTCATGCCTCATGGCCCATGGGGCTTACCTCTCCTCCCCTAACCGTTTTATTAGGTGCCCAATAGCATGACAAATAAGCTATTTATGTTTATCATTTTATTTGTCATGCCCAATAGCATCGCATAGGCTCAACTAGTGGGGGGGGGATAAAGGTCTTTAGCACCCCCAAGTTATAATTTAGCACGTTTTAGAGGTTCAGTTGAGCCTATGTAGCCCCCCTATATAATATGTTTCTAGAAAATATCGACAACCCACCACCATTGAAAATTCCTGAGAAGTGAGAACGCCACTGATTCTGTGCCTATACTATAATATAGTCTATAGTAACATTATATTTAACGGTAGGTAGTTGGACATTTCTCCCCGATATATTTTGATGCGGACATTTACTCACCATTTTTTTTAAAGTTTATAATTTACTAATAATAATATTGAATTTAATAATATAATATTATTTATTATTTAATAATATAAAATTATTTTTTTTAAATAAAATATAAAATATATTATGAACATTCTTTTTTTCATAAATATTGGTAATAGATTATAAATGTATATGTTCGATCCACTGAACTACTTAAAACAATAAAAATTTAAAAAAAAAATAAGCATAAAATAAAATATAATTAATAAAAATTGCTAAAAAAACCGACATAAAAATTAAACATTTTGTAAAAAACATTTAATTAATTAACTTGGTTCATATTTTTTTTCTTTTGTTAAGACTACCAGTTTGGATATTTACAAATTTAATAATAATTGCTTTTGAATTTGATTCAAGTAGTTCAGTTGATCAAAAATATACATCTAAAATTTATTATATTTATGAAAATATTCAAAAAATATTAGACAATAGGCAAACTAATAATTTCATATTAAATAATAAAACAATATTTTTAAAAAAAAATTGGGGGAAAATGTCAGCATCAAAAATATATCGGAGGGGGGGATTCATATTTAACTATACTTAAGCATCATCCATTCGACTATTCGTCTACAAATTATAAAATTGTTTAAAAACAATGGTAACAGTGTAACACCAAATAAATTATCTTTATTCAGCTACCCAATTGAAAAGATTTTGGTAATTTGACACAAAATATGTTTTCTCGATAGTAGGTATTATCATTGATAAATAAGCAATAATTGATTTCATAAAACAAATTAATATAGAATACCTACCTATGTAGAACGTATTAGGTAGGTACCTAGGTAGTCATCAATCATAGGTGCAATATTGCAATGGCTTTAAATTATATGAGACTAATGAGAGATTCCCCCCAGAGTAGCTACTTGTGGATTTACGACTATGGGCTATGGATATTGGATACTATACATATTACATACTGCAATACCTCAGAACACCTAGTATGTAAAATATGTCATAAATCATAATTAAGTACGTTTAAATTTTAAAGACATAGTACAATGACATTAACAGGGTCTTTTACGTATAATACGGTCATATTATTTTATAGTTATTACTTAATATAATACTTAGTAATAGTTTGTATAGTTATTCAGTAGGTACCTTTTACCTACATAATAAATAATAATATACGAATACAATATTATATTGCTAGACACGAACATGAAATAGATAAGTAATAAGTTCAATTTTATCATAGGCCGTGCCCGCGCTATTAAATAACATAAACACTGTTATCAATAACTTCTAATTACTGTGCGTTTTGTCAAGTATTTATTATTTAATCTACAAGTTATTCTATAGGTATTCTGTTTCTGTGTCTAATGTGAACTATCGTTAAAATAGTGAATAAATAACTTAAAGAATATAATACATTATATATTATTACAAATTAACAATAGGATGAGCTCAATAGTCTATAAGGATTTACGATTTATGAAATACGAATGATGTTCGGGGACGCTTATTTTATCATACTGTAGGCAACTTGACTGCCGATACGGCTGACAGAAGTTAAAACCTTATAGCCAATGACAATAGTAATGTTTTCATGAACTATTCATTATTCAATGTTATTCTGATACATTTGGTATCAACGAAAATAATATAAAACATAAGAAAAATCACTTGGTATTTAGAGTTTCAGTAAGAATAGTAAGATCCGTACGAATTGAGTTTCCAAAATGAATCCACAAGAGATTTCAATACCGGTTCCTTGGGGAAATATTGCTGGTAAGTTTTGTCTATATTTTTTTAAAACTAATAAGCCACAAAGTAAAAGGTAATTTAACTAATTAGTATTTAATAATTTAAATATAATGTTGTAAGTTCTGTTCGTGAAACTGCTATATAGCCAAATAGGTACATACTTTTATAGTGTTATATATTATATATTACTGAGGTTGACTAAATTGGTGTAAGTGCATGCATTAAACAAGACCACATTTTTTATAAGTATATGATTAACGTTTATATTTAAAATTGCATTATTTTGGAAATTATTATAGACAATTAAGAAATCTTTCAAATCTTAATAGGCACATTAGTTAATGCTTTGACATAACAATAAAAAGTATTGTTTTAAATAGGCGAGGTAATAGACGTACACAATTTTTAAATTATTATATTGTGTTTAATATTTTATACTCATAGATTTAATATCAATACGCTATAAGTTATACTTTAATAACTTATCAATTGGGCATTGGTTGTTTTTTAAATAAATGTTTAAGGTATACCAGGTTTCTAAGTATTGAAAAATAAAAATAAAATATACATTTGTGGATTAATTACACTATAATTTTTCTACATAGTATACATTACCTATATAAAGAAGTTATCATATTATAATTTATAACCCTGTATTTTAATAATTTACATAATTGGTATAACAAGGGTCCTGCACTTGCATTTATTCAGGCGCTAAGATTTCAAAAAATCATGAAGTGAAAAGCCTCCCCTATTAAAAAAAAAATAGTTTGTGAAGGCTTTAACCACAGAACACATTGATGTAGAATCATTTTTTTTACGTTTTTGAGTAATCTTTTGAAAAATCACCCATTACAAAAATAATAGGAACAATATTTTTTAGGGTATGTCACAACTATTTGTTTAAAATATTGTCTCAAAACATTTTAACATCATTTAAATTAAAAATGTTTCATTTTATTTTGAAATTTGAATACAGTCATAACATAATAAAATGTAAGACTGTTATGTCAAACCCTCAAAAATATTATCCTCTATAATTTTTGTAAGATATTAGGATATCTAGAATAACCGCGTAATGTCACTGGGCCTGGCTCGGCACAATCGCTTATTTTACGCTTGTAAAAGTTGCTCGCTTTACACAATGATTTACCAATCTAAACATTTTATTTTTGATGTTTGATTCATGTACAAATACGTGATTTTTTGTTCTAAAGACGATAGAACTATCAGAATTTCTATACAACGTTTGGTATTTTTTTTTTTTAAATTAAAAATACTAAAAAAGATTTTTGTTCCAACGTTACGTACCTACATTGTAGTTACAACGGCGCATTTATTTTGATACACGTGTTAAATATTTCAAAAAAACTAAACACATAATAAAAATGCTAGTCCCTGCAATGTATTCAGTACAAAACAACTCACACCGCTTTCGTACAAAAAAAAAATTAGTAATTATACTTTAAGTCTTTAAAGATAGGTAAAATTATTGAGTGAAACGAGTAACATCTAAATCTAAAAGAAAGTTATTTCCTACTATGGAAAAATTATGTTTTCGACATAATCAATTTTGATTATTGGTTTATTATTTTAACTCTAAAACAAATGACCGTAGATACAATAAATTTCACTGGCTGTTTATATAAGCATTTTCTATACACGATAAAATTTTCAAAAAAATTTGATTTATATTGAACTGTTTACGGACAAATTCAGTTTCCAATTATTTAGTTTTTAGATTCTGAGTGGAACGATTAATGTATTGATTTTACAATGATGTGTGTTTTCACATCAAGTTCAAAAATTCACAAAATATGGAAAAATCACGAAAATTAGCAAATTATTTTGAGTTAAGAATTCTTAAAAATTTTCTTTTTAAATCTAAGATTTTAAAATGTAGTACAAGATTCCGTATAATCCATATTATCTACCTTAATCAAAAAAAAAAAAATGTCTATAAGAATGTCAAATTAAATTTTTTTTTTTTATTGATCTTAAATAAACAACCCGGCATCTGTGGCCATTAGTTACAGCTATGGTGGCACAAAAGTTAATTACAATAGGGGTTCATTATGCTATCGTATTCTAATAACTAAGAACTATGGAAAAATGAACATAATATTTAAATTGAGTTATACAAGTTAGTTGATTTTAGGAAGTTTATTATCTTGTTATTGTCCTCGAATTCTGGTCCCAGTACGGTGCTGAGTGTCGCGTCAATTCCGATCCTTTGTCTGTCTTGTTCGTACTTGAAACATTCCGTTAATATGTGTTTCACGGACAGTCTTAAACCGCAAGCATCACATAAAGGAGCTTCTTCCTTGGCCATTAAGTAATAAATATCCGTGGGTTAGTCTAGTGCAGGGGTTCTCAACCTTTTGAGGTCTAATTTTGGTTATTGGATTAATATGTATATAACTTATAATTTACAATTACACACAATTAATAGATTTTTGGCACGGCATAGAAAACGGCAAATTTTTCATTTATTTTTTTTTTTTCAACATGTGTTCACGCCCCCGCACCCCTGAAATGTTGTCACGCCGCCAGTGGCGTATTTACGGGGGGGGGGTCCCCGGGTCTGGACCCCCCCCAGAAAAAAATATAATATAATATAATTATTACATCGTAACTCATATGTGTTTTTTTATATTATAAACTTGTAGGTACCTAATATTTAGACCCCCCCCACAAAATATTTCAAAATACGCCACTGCACGCCGCCATAGGGGGGGCGCGCCCCCCAGGTTGAGAATCCTTGGTCTAGTGTGTCCGATACGCAAGCGGTTTAATATTACCTATTTCTTCTTTCCTTTTTAAATAGCTGTTAATCCAAATTAAATTAAATTAAATTAAATTTTTATAACATATATTGTTTCAAAGGCAGATGAAAAATATTAAAAATCCTTGTCAGTTTTTTTTATAAGTATTTAAAGTTCAAAAATAGACAAAATCACGAAAATTAGCAAATTATTTTGAATTAAGAATTCGTAAAAATGTTTCTTTTTAAATCTAAGGTTTTAAAATGTAATACATGATTTCTTATAAGATTATCTAAATTTATCAAAAAAAAAAATGTCTATATAAGTCAAATTAAATTTTGATGAGCGTTTGAAATTCACATTTTTACAACATTGGAACATTGGATATTCACTCGATTTCTCATGTAGCGATTTCTTTATTTTGTTGTAATTCAAAAACGAATAACTGTAGATACATGGAAATTTCACTGAATGTTTATATTAGCAGTTTTTTACACCATACAATTTTGAAAATATTTTGACTCTTTTTGAGCTGTTTACGGACATTTACAGCTTTCAATTTTTTTTAGTTTTATTTTCTATAAATATCAATAAAGTTTTATCTGTTGATCCAAAAAGTGTAAAAATTTAGTACAAGGCTCCTGCTATATTGTTTTTTTTTTTTTTTTTTTTTTTTTTTTTTTTTATTAAAATATAATTACAATCTATACAAAATTTAGTACAATAAGTAATATTGATATAGTATTTACATAATAACGTGAATGACAGATGGGGGAGGGCACTCAGTAGTGCCACCCGACGGATTAAATTAGAAGGTCTCTAGGCCAGGAGCGTTTTAAACGTCTCTGGGGGTTATCAGGGATTGTTAGAGAAGATATGCGTTTTATTAATGGATTGTAATGTTGGATTAACTTGGAATGAAAGGAGACGTAGAGAGACTTTGTTAATTGAAAGAGCGATGGAATATTTAGATCTTTGTGGAGATTATTATTTGAGATAAACCATGGAGCAGAGACAATTTGCCTCAGACAGATAGACTGGAATGCCTGGATTGTTCTCGTGTTGGAGGGTTTGGCAGAGCCCCAAATCTGGATGCCATAGGACCAAACGGGTCTGATGATGGTTTTGTATATTAATAGTTTATTTTTTAATGATGTCTTGGATCTAAGAAGTGGGCGGAGTAAATGGAGTCTGGAGTTGACTGTTTTTCTTTTTATTTTAAGGTGTTGGGCCCATGTGAGGCGCCTGTCAAAGATCAAACCTAGGTATCTTATTGTCGGGGTGATTGGGATTTGGTTATTATTAAACGATACAGAGGGGCAGTCACCTGGTCTAAGAGAGAAAGTGATAAATGATGATTTAGCTTCGTTAATTTTAATCCTCCAGCGGTTTGACCATAGTTGAATCGAGTTGAGATGATTTTGAAGCCGGAGAGATACTACCCGGGGGTCATGGTTTGAAGCCAGGATTATCGTGTCGTCAGCATATGTACCCAGTGATGTATGAGGAGAGGTCGGAGTGTCATGGGCGAATATAGAGTATAAGAAGGGAGCTATGTCACTTCCTTGAGGGACTCCAGCTAGTATTTGGAAGTTTGACGAGTAGCTGTTGTTAACGCGAACACAGAAGGTGCGATTTTCGAGGTATGATTTTAAGAGAAGGTAGTAGGGGGCAGGGAGGAATTTTTTGAGTTTGAAGAGTAGTCCTTCATGCCACACCTTGTCGAAGGCCTGAGCCACGTCAAGGAGTACAGCCGCACAGTAAAGTTTTGATTCCATGCTGGTAGAGATTAAGTCGACAGTGCGGTGGAGCTGGTGGATGGTGGAGTGCTTGGACCTGAATCCAAATTGGTGGTTTGGGATGATGTTGAATTTGTCCGATAGTGGAAGTAGCCTTTTGAGAAGTATTTTTTCAAAAATTTTTGCGAATGTGGGGAGGAGAGAGATTGGTCTGTAGGAAGACGGGATATCAGGCGGTTTGTCCGGTTTTGGGATTAGGATTATGTTTGAGTGTTTCCAGGCTGTAGGGAAGTAGGATAAACGAAACATAGAGTTGAAAATTAGTGCTAAAAGAATGATAGATTTTTCAGGGAGGTGTTTGACAACTAAGTTGCTTATTAGGTCGTGCCCAGGGGCTTTTTTGGTTGGGAGTTTGCGGATGATGTATTGAATTTCACCCGGGCTAGTATGTTTGGCAGGGAGGGCCATAGGGAGAGGGGATTCAAGAAATCTAGTAATATTTAGAGTATGAATTTTATTTGGTATGATATTATGTGGTTTGAAAACGTTAGCTAAGTGTTCGGCGAAAATGCTGGCTTTATCGGAGTCAGAGGAGGCCCACGAATTGTTTGGCATACGGAGTGGGGGGGATGGTAGCTTATGATGGATTAATTTTTTAGTGGCCTTCCACAAAGATGAGTCTTTAGTTGAGAGGTTTTGGATGTAGTTTTGATAACTTTCGTTTTTGAGTTTAAGAATAGCTTTGTTTAGTTTATTTTTCAGATAATTAAACGTTGCTTTGTCCGATGGGTATTTAGATCTATGCCATTGGGTTCTGGCTCTGCGTTTGTCGGCGAGTAAGAGCATGATATGGGCAGGAATATTAGTATTATTCCGGGGTGGAGGATGGTTACTCGAGGCCGCGGAGGCAGAATTTTGAATAGTGGAAGTTAAGGAAAGGATAGCGCTGTCGATTTCAGAGGTAGTTTTTAAGGAGGGTTTAAGGTTTATGTTGTCGGTTACTAATTTTTTGAATTTAGGCCAGTTTACTCTGCCAGAAGTAAGGGAAGGTTTAATTTGTTTAGTAGCCCAGGCACCCACCTCAATGTGCTATATTGTTAAAATAGAAATTGAAAAATATTAAAAATACATAGGCACAATTTTTTTTAATAAGCATTTAAAGATCGAATTTTGACAAAATTTATCAAATTTAAAATTGAATAATTATTTTGTAGTTAAAAATGTATAAAATGTTCAACTTTTATTTCTAAGGATTGAAAATTTAAAACAAGATTCCACGTAAGTAGTTGATTCTGTTACCAAAAAATCTAAAAAATATATTATCAAATTTTATTTTTATAGTAATTTTAAGTTCAAATTTGGACGAAATTACATATTAAAAAACCTAGAATAACTTTTTTAGTTATTTTGTTGTGAGTGTATAATATTATTCGTGGGTACTTGAAACTTCTAAAGTACACTGTACACTATCATATATCTATATGATAGTATATCAGGGTTTGTTGTTGATGTATAACTCGTTATAAGTACCTACCTAATGGATATTGTGATATTATTAATTTTGGTTTTTATTATAGGTAAGTACCTATTATAGGTCAATTTTTAATTAATACCATAGATATGTATATAATATGTCTTAAACCTAGACTGACATACCGTCTCCGCTCAGAATCGTTTTTCTTATACAATGATATTATATCATTGAATTCAAATTTAATACAATCTATTGTACAGTGACCCACTTGTAACCTACTGTACAGCAGAGCACCTTTTTTTTTCTATGAATATGAATATAATTTTATTTATTAGTTTGATAAAATGCTTGAACATTTAATAAAAGGCTCCTAATATATTGTTCCAAAGACATTTGAAAAATATTAAAAATCCAGTCACAATTTTTTTTATACGCATTTAAAATTCAATTTTGAAAAAATACGTAAAAATCACGGAAATGTGCAAATTATTTTGAGTTAGAAATTCATAAAAAATGTTCATTTTAAATCTAAGTTTTTAAAACGTAATACAACATTTCTCATAAATATGTTAACATTTATCAAAAAAAAAAAAAATATCTACAAGAAAGTCAAATTACATTTTTATGAGCGTTTGAAGTTCATATTTTTACAACATTGAATTTTCACTCCATTTCTCATGTAGCTATTTTCTTATTTTGTTGTAATTTAAAAACCGGCCAAGTAAGAGTCGGACTCGGGCACGAAGGGTTCCGTACTATCGTCTATAAACATGTTGGCAACACTGTTTATATAATATATTCTAGGATTTTTAGTATTTGTTGTTATAGCGGCAACAGAAATACATAATCTGTGAAAATTTCATCTTTCTAACTTTCATGGTTCATGAGATACAGACTGGTGACAAACGGACGGCCGGCCTTAGTAATAGGGTCCCCTAAAACGGAACACTAAAAACGAAAATAGTTTTATATAGAAAAGGTAACCTACCTAACGATTGTATGCAACACAAAAGAGTATCAAATGGGGTTCCACTGATCTAATAATCGCTATAAACTTAAATATAATTTCGTCCCCACTAACAACAAAACCAGTGAACGTGTATCAATGTGTTTAATTTCAGCCAAAACTTGGGGCCACTGTTCTGACGCCCGAGTACTCTGTCTCCATGGGATACAGGATAACTGCGGTACGTTTGACAAGCTTATCCCGTTGCTCCGTCGAGGATTTTATTACGTGTGCGTGGACACGCCGGGGCACGGGCGGTCATCGCATTATCCACCTGGTTTCCGGATTACGTTGGAGTGTTACGTGTTGGCCGTCAAGCGGGTCGTCGACCACCTGAAATGGGACCGATTCAAGTGTATCGGACACAGCATGGGTGGCATGATCGCCAGTCTGTTCACGTCCCTGTACCCAGAACACGTCGCCAGCCTAGTGATGATTGACTGTGCAGGCCCGATGCTCGTGCATGCGCAGGACACTGTCAAGTGGCTGAGAATGGTGGGCGATGGTCTGCTGACGATCGAGAGAAAAATTTCTAGTGGGTCGCCACCATCGTACACCCGTGAACAGGCCATCGACGTGCTGATGACGAAACGGCCGTCCAAGTTGACCAGAAGTTCGGCGAACGTGCTCGTTGAACGGTCCCTGGTGGACCGCCCGGACGGACGTTATGCGTTTAGCATGGATCAGAGGCTCAAAGTGCACTACAACCAGACGTTCACTCCGATTCAGTACATGGCCATAGTAAACAGCATCCAGTGTCCCGTTTTAAATTTGCGTGCCACGGACAACCCTCTGCAAAAGGATCCAAGAGTTAAACTGTCGAGGAAGATTTACAAGTCCAATCCGAATGTCCGTATGGTCAAAGTAAACGGGAATCACGACGTACACTTGAACCATCCAGAAAGGATAGCTGATTTGATCAATACATTTCTACTGTCCGAACGCAGCAAACTTTAATCTCAGATATGGTGCTGCTTTATATGCGTACTTATTATATTTTAATAATGCATAAGGTGTTTAGGTGTGACTGTGTGAGTGGTCAGGTTTATGGTTTTTTTTATATTCATAATTATATGTTTTTATTTTAATATGTTTTTTTTTTTAGTTTATAATGGTGATTTGTACAATATATAGTGTTAAGGATATATCCCCAAATACAAGGAGGGGGTCCGTGAATCGTGTCGTTGGATTTCCACTATAGAATTATGAATTATGTTTTTATTTTTATGCATTCATATTTTGTGATTTCGTGATCATCAGAGACGTTTCCAGGATAAAACTTCAGGACAGGCCCGGTTATAAAAAAAGTGTGTACAATGTATTAATCCTAATAACACTCCTCAAAAAAAATTGGCCCAGAGACTCCTTAACACTTAATAAAATGAAAAAAAAACTTGCTTAAAATTTTGAAGTAGGGTCATTGGACCCCCCCCCTTATATTAACTATTGTATAAATTATTACAGATTATATATATTCTTGTTTTCTAATAAAAAAAAAAAAATTATTAAAAAAAACAATATATTATTATACATTTTTTTAAAAGGAATTTTTAATATATATTTTGTAAATGTACAGTCAATCATAACATTAACTAATTACTAATATATTTTATATTATACGTTTTTAATTTTTATCATCATATAAATAATATGGTTGTTGACGGTTCGCGGATACATGTTTTTCATAGAAACGCTTGAGGATCGCCGATTAATTTTATTTATCGATAAATTATTATTTATTGTACACAGAACAAAATAATATGATTGATATAGTGGCTTGGTTTGGTGCGTTGACTGCTACCAGTCGTAGAATGCGAGCGAGAGTAAGACCAAGACGTAACGCCCGCTGCTATACTAGCTCCCGGATGGGTTCGTAGTACTAAAAACCTTGCCACACATACACATGGTTGCTTACCTACCGTAACATCACATCATTACTAACCTTACCAAATACCAACTATAGTTTATAATCCTCTACAACGGCTACAACACTTAATGGCCATAGTCGCCGGGCTTAAGTTCAATAAAAAAATAATTGATATATTGTCAGACTTATACCACCGCAGTACGCCGATGTTTTCACTTTTCACATTCACATTTAAATGTTGGGTGTGTTGATACAAAAAACAAATAGGTACACAATTTTTTGTTTCTAATTTAAAAATGATATATTATGATAAGGGACTGGACACTACGCCAGTACGCCACTGGTGATCGCTCGTCGGTTGCAACTATATAGTTATATATATATTTCAAATTTCCACACGCAGTGAAACATAATGAAGTTATGTATTAACATCATGACCTTCATAACCTTGTTTTATTTTCAATAAAACAACGATTTTCTACATTTAACTTGGTGGTTTTATTTTCTTCCTGATTTTATAAGTGCTTTTTATAATATGTATTAAATATTAATGTTGTTTATGCAGCAGACTTCGCCACGTCCAACACCCCACTTGCACGACACATCATCAACATTTATCGAAACGAATTTTATTTACAGCAAAAGTGTACGGCGACAACAATCGTCCTGCCGTTCTTTGCGTGCACGGGATCCAAGACAACTGCGATACGTTCGTCACGTTGCTGCCATCACTGCCGGACGATTACTATTACGTGTGTGTCGACCTGCCCGGCCACGGCGGTTCCGACCATTTCCCCGCGCACGTGCCGCTTGAGTTCACTAACTATTTGGCCGCGATCAAATGGGTAATGGATCATTTCGCTTGGCCCGAGCTGGCGTATCTTGGACACAGTTTTGGCGGACAGTTGGGCTCGTGGTTGGCGGGCGTCTACCCGGAACGCGTCCGTTGCCTGATTGTGCTGGACACCATGGGGCCCAGGTCGGTGGAAATGGGCGACACGTTGGCTGCGGTGCGTAGCCGGATCGATGACGCGCAGTCGTTGCACCGGCGACAGTGTGGCCGAAAGCCACCATCGTACACGTTCGGCGAGGCGGTAAGCAAAATGATGGCTGGCCGGCCGTCCAGACTGACCGACGAATCCGCGCGCATACTGGCCGCCCGAGCGTTGGCCCGCGTGGACGGCGACGACGACAAGTACACGTTCGCCAGCGACCAACGATTGAAATTGGCGTTTTACCCGCTGATGACGTTTGACCAACAGAAGCAGATTCTGGGCAGCATTGCGTGCCCGGTCGTGTTCGTGCTGGCCGACGAGAACTGTGGCAGGTACTCCACGTATCTAAAGGACGCTTACGAGTTCTACAGCAAACGGCCGAACGTGACCATCCGGGTGGTCAGCGGCGACCACGATGTGCACTTAAACTATCCAGACAGGGTATTCAAACACGTGGCGGACTTTCTGCAAGAACATTATAGAAACTGAAATCGTCGATACTGCAGCACATGCGCAACACTGGGAAATATAATATATTTTAGTATTTAGTACATAATATTGACGTTTGAATTTGTAGTGTAATATACTATTGAAATATTAAATTATATATTTATATAATATGTCGTTACCAAAAGACGGGTAATAGTTATTATTGTATGTACGTATCTATATAATATAGATAAATACTTATATATATTAGGATGTACTTAAAATGTATAATAGGTACGCACATAGATATGTATCACTATCATAATAAAATATGACGTGATATACCGGATTTACTGATATGTCCATATATTATATTTTTATGTATTATTAAAGGTATCCATGCATATAAAGCGTAAAATTACAAAATTTAAAAGACACGAAAAGTTTATCTTTTAATTTTTATGTATATCTTTTTAATACTATAAAGTATCATGTGGGCAGATTGCTCTATTATATTTTACAGCCAAAAAAGTCACGGTGTACGAAATTGTGTGTTCGGTATATTGATAATAAATTATAAAGTAGATAAAACTCAAAAAGCAAAAAGGTAACTGGTAAACGATAAAAATGTAGGTATGGTAGAAAATAGAAATGAGAATATTTTGATATTTGATAGACTTATGTCTTATAAGTTATAATATACGTATGTAAGAATTTCGTATATTGCGTTTTGACGAGTGGAAATTTTCATACATAGAGTGTCGGAGCCGATGCTTTTTTAACCCTAAAATTGGCTTATGGGGAAAACTTTTTACATCTCTTGGACTTTTTTAATTGTTAGATTTTGAAAAAAAGTATCCTTACAGTTCGCATTGGACTTGGATTCCGGTTTTAAAAATTCGAATCATAAAATATTTAAATCAGTAATAAACGATTGAATATTTTCAAATGCATTTATATAGAATTATAGAAATGTATGTTCATACAATTTTACTTTATTGCAATGTTAATTTAAAATCGGAGTTCGATCTGAACTATAAGAAGTTTTCTTCTGTCTACTAAACTTGAAAGTGGTGTGCTAACATTTTTTTTGAAAGGGGAGAGAGAGGATATGAATTTTTACTATTCTCAGACTAAGTTATACAGCGGTAAATTTACTTTCATGGTTATATTGCCATTTGCCATATTGGTATATAATATTATGAATTATGATATATCTACTTTACCAGACACCCTTTATAAAACTGATGCAGATAAGTTTGCTAAAAACGATGTTGAGGTCTAAATTTGGCAGTCGAACTTATAATTTCAAAGTTATACGGTATAGGTACTGCGAAATTAGTATTTATTTGTGTGCCATGTTAAATAACATACTATAAGTTTGGTCACCCATTAAGTTAGCTTAGGTTTACACTCATCCAACCCCCCTAGATGGACTATTTATACTTCCCGGTTGGTTGGGGGTGTGGGCAGAGCCGTGCCGTGGGGGGGGGCCTAGGGGGCATATGCCCCGGGCGCATGGTTTAAAGGGGCGCCAAACATTTTTTTTTATAATATTTTAAACTTTACATAAATAAAATATATGAGAAAGATTATTGTTTTACAATTATTTTGGACCATTACAAATTTTTTCTGAAATGAAATAATTTTTACAAAATATATTTAACTATTTTTCTGGATCAACAAGTCGCTGGGAAGTACTAATGCGGTGTTTGAAAATAACATTAAAAACGCACAGTGACACACGCTGGGCATCTAAATATAATGCAGTTCATTCGTTGTATTGTCAATTTGGCGGTGTGATAAAAGCTTTACGTGACATATCTACCAATCCAATTTTTGGCGATGGGGTTGCTAATGCAGAAAGTATATTGAAACAGTTTGATTTGGAATTTGTTTATTTTTTAGTCATGTGGGATAAAATATTGAATCAAATATATCGTGTAAATAAATTATTACAAAGCTCAAATATTTCAATAGATCAGGCTTCAAAAATGATAAATTGTTTAAATGTTTCTCTCCAAGAAATGCGTGATAGTGGAAATGAACAAATTAAAACTGAAGCTATTAGTATTTGTGATAAAGTTGGAATAAAATCTGAATTAAAAATCAAAAGGACAATAAAAAGGAAAGTTATGAGTGGAGAAAATTCATCGGGTGAAGATATTTCTGCAGATCAATTTTTAACATTGGAATACTACAAAGTTCTTGATATTATGATGGCTCAAATGAAATGGAGGTTTGAACAATTATCAAATATTGCTGATGATTTTCAATTCCTTTCTGCTCATTCACTATCTGTTACACCAGTTGAAAAATTGAAAAAATATGCAGCTGATTTAGCTATCAAATACAACGAAGATATTGACCAGGAAATAATTAACGAAATCGAATTTTTTAAATATCAAGTAAAAGCAATTTTACCAGACTTAAACGCAACTGCTTTAAATATTTTAAACGCAATTAAAAAATATGAACTTGATTCAACTTGTCCAAACTTAATGACTGCATATAGATTGTTTCTTACCATGCCTGTTACCGTAGCTTCCGGGGAACTCTCTTTTAGTAAATTGAAACTAACTAAGACGTATTTACTGTCAACCATGTCGCAAAACAGATTAACCAATTCTGCAATATTATCAATTGAGCATTTGAGCATGAAATAACAAAAAGCATTGATTTTGAAGACGTCATTGAAGATTTTGCTTCAATAAAGTCCAGAAAAATTAAGTTTTAACTATATGATACTTATATATGATAGGCTCTTATGATACGTTTGTAAATATAACATGTATATATAATATAATTTGTGATTTTTATCATTTTTAATTATTTAATAGGTACGGTATAAATTAATAAATTATACCTAACTATTTTGTTTAATAATTACTATTGCAATTAACTTTAGTTTTTTGTCAAATTAATGTTCAAAATACGTTGTAAAAAAAAATTAAATTAAATTAAATAGGAATGAAACGCATTATGATTAATGAATAATGATAAATAAAATAGGGGGCGAATATTTTTAATTTTGCCCCGGGCGCCAAATCGTAACGGCACGGCTCTGGGTGTGGGGGCTGAGCCTCTAACCGAGAGAACCTCGAGTTTGGCGACCTTATCCGGTGGGTGTGTCGCGTGTGACTTCTTGTTAATACTTTAAAATTGGTTAATACCTACTACAAATATCTATAACTTTGAAACTAAGTTCGGCTGCCTGTCGATTTATTCAACGTTTGTGCCAACCCCCCCTCCCAAATAATGTGTAAGGTAAAGTGGAAAAGTTCCCTAACCGATTTCAGTTGTGATTTGTAAATTGTAGCGAAACTGTGGAAGGGTCAACAGAAGAAATCCGACTACTGTGGCGAACGGGTGATGTGCTTACACGGATATCAGGACAACTGCGCTTCATTTGACCATCTGATTCCTGTGCTGGGTGGCGACCGCACGTATCTGTGTTTCGACTGGCCAAACCATGGTGGCTCGTCAGCCACGCCATTGGGAGTGCGGTGGACGATAGAAAACTATGCACTGACCATCAGGCGCGTTGCCGACCACGTTCAGTGGTTGTCGCCGTTTGTGTGCGTAGGTCACAGCATGGGCGGACAGGTTGCCAAGCTGTTCGCCGCCCTCTACCCGGAACGCTTCACGAAGATCGTGTTGCTGGACACCGCCGGACCAGTGGCCATGTATCCAGAGGAGATCACGTGGAGCGCTCGCCAAGCCAACGACAAACTACTTAGATTTGAAAACAGAATGACGGCGTTGCCTGGTGGCGGCAGCCGTTTATCACCGATTTACGCTCACTCGGAAGCTTTGGATCGCGTTAGACGGCGCGCCTACGGGCTACTGGACAATGAGCCCGCCAGGACGTTGATGACGCGGTACTTGCGGCCCGGGCCCGCTGGCGAATTCCGTCTGGCCAACGACGTGCGGTTGGGCGTACCATACAGCCAATGGTTTTCGGCTGCACAGCACTGGGACGTGGTCGTCAACATCAGATGTCCCACGTTGCTGATCAGGGCATCGGACAGCGACTCGTACTTCAACGACGTGTATGGCGTCTTTGTGGATATGTACGAACGAAATCCAAATTTTCGTACGGTTATGGTGGATGGCAATCACGACGTTCACATGAACAATCCGAGTGCGGTGGCGATGTTGATCAACAAATTCCTTAACAACAAATTGAGTAAATTGTAATAGGTACAATCAGTGCTCACATGAGAAATTGTGGCATTGTGGCTCGTGTGGTCGCGGTGGTGGTGGTAGTAGTGAAGTACTACAATGTCAATACTTATACTGGGTACAGGCACATTGGTTAAAAAAATCATATTATTTGGAAATAAATTAGAGTGATTTTGGCATAAATTAATTTTTAATAGAAATAAGTAATAAGTAATAACCATTAACAACAATAGTAATACATAATAAAAATAATAATAATGAAAATAAAATTGTGTCCCAGAAAATTCACCTGATGTTATCATAGGTAGCATAATGGTTTTTAATTACATGTAAATCTTAAAATAACTATAAATTAATATGTTAAACAAATATTAATACTAAATAAAAGTTTTTTTTTACATTGAGTTGGAATGGCAAATAGGGTTTAATTGTATAGTTCTAATAACATACTTATAATAATTTAAAAAATATTTTAAACAGTAGGTATTGCTATTCCAAAACCCTATCAATATTTTACAAAATATTTTACAGTAGCAATAGAGTATTCAATACATTTAGAAACCACATTAATATTAATCCTTACACTACAAAAATATATTTCTTTTTTCATCAGTCAAAGTTGAAAATTAGTGAAGCACTTAGAGATGTGCATTGATACAACACTACCATATAATTTTTTATGGAGGTTAACTTGTTATCAACAGGTTTAATGTACAGGAATTTTTTAACAGGAATCCAGATTTTAACCATTTATTTTCTTATAATATGGTTAAAAAAAAACCATTTTATTTCTATACACATTAAGAGTTGTAGTTATATGGACAGTTTAAAAATGCATTAAATCACAGTGAAATTACTTACAACTTAACAAGTTAAAAAAAAAAATATATATATAACAACTGTTAGAAATGTATAAGCATAAAGATAAAACCAAAAAAAAGAGAATTTGTAAAAAATAAAAATATTTGAATTAAATGATATACACCAATAATTTTTAATTAACCGTTTAATCTTAACAAAAACTATAATTCTGAAAATAATTTCAGAGATTTGCATATCATAATAGTAACAATGTGTGCAAAATATAATTATTTGTCAAGTGATTCATCCGAATGACCCAATGAATCTGGAATAAAAAAAAATATATTAATTTAGATTTGTATATATTATTATGTTGCAATGTCTTACTTTCTCGATTCATATAGTTATATCTTTGAGCCAATGGACGAAATGCGGAAGACCTTTGTAAAGGCGTTGGAGAACCAGGTGATAGCGATCGATTGTGCCTCCTAGATAAAGGAGCAGGTGGACTAGGAGCTTGGCCCAAAGCGCCAAGTGGAGGTAACCGTTGGTTAGTTAAAATCGGAGGAGGTGGCTCAAAATCAAGTAATGTAAGTAATGTGAAATCAGGAGACACAGTTGGCAATGGTATGTCCAACAGTTCATCTTCAAAATCTTTTGACGAATCTATGCTTTCTGAAAAATATAAAAATTATGAAAAATAAACTTTTGTTTTAATTAAATCATATTATAAATTTAACTTACTTGCACCATTTTCAAGTTTTTTGTCAACCATGGTCAACTTATTTCTAAGTTGTGCAGTTTCGAGTTCCATTTCTTTAAGTTTTCTCTCAGCTTGTCTGAATGATATCTTTGAAAAAAAAAATAGTAATTTGTACTAACAATATGGTTAAATTAATTAATATAAGAAACTTACCCAATAATCACTGGCTTTTTTATCTGCCGCTGATATTTGAATTTTGAAACTAGTTTCTTGATCAGTTATTTCTTTCTTCAATGATTGAATTTCTGATCTAAAAAAAAAATACCAATTGAAATGTTAAATAATTTTAAAATTACCGACTCTCCCTTCAGCTGTACATTAGATATTTAGATGTCGTGTGTGTCACCGTAATAGGTATATTAAATTTGAATTCAATAATATAAAATTTATTGTATACAAAGAATGATTCTAAAGAGTTGACAGTCTGTCAGCCTATATTACTACATATATTTTATTATTGGTATTAAAGTAATTTATATTACTATTAGACATTACTACATTAGTAATAAAGTAGGTTGAATTATTTTTTCCCAAAAAATTGCATTTGGAAAGGTCATTGTCTGTATAAAATATAATAATATACTTTAAAAGTTTCAAGTAGCCAAAAATAATATTTTTTAAATCATAATTCTTCATTTAAATATCTAAATTTAAACTTGAAATTCCTATATAAAAAAAATACTGTATTTAATAATTGTTTAGATATTTTGGTAACAGTAAGAAATAGTAATGAGAAACCTTGTTTTGAATTTTCAATTTATAGCTAAAAATAAAAAACAATTTATACATTTTTTACTACGAAATAATTTGCACATTTTCAAGATTTTGATGAATTTCACTTTTTAAAAAAATTATGCTTATGTATTTGTAATACTTTTAAACTAGGTACCATTATAACAACTAGTAATATATTTGTATTAAATTATTAAGTTTACTGACTTAACAAAACATTACTTTTTTTAACTAAAGTTTTAACTAGATTTACCTTCCTACCGGAAAAGATTAAGTAGAAAATTGAAGCAATTTTACTGCCAAAGGTGATGACTAACAAAAAACACCCACATTCATAAGCTCGATCAGACTCTAGTTTCAAGAGGCAACAAAAAATTAATCTGGCCCATCTTCCAAATTCACTGTTAAACCGCCCATAGTTTTACTTTTTTTTACAGTAGGGTATCAACATAAAAGTTTTATTGGTTTTTAATTTTTTTACAATATAAAAAATAATGTCAATTTTTTTTTAGTAGATAAGTCAATTTTTTTTATACTGTAATTCTATAATCATAAAATATTTATCTATAGTTTACGTTTACCCAAAAAAATAAAAAATGTATTTAATTGTTATATCTACAATAATCATTATTTGTGGAAGTATAATTTTACTGAGACCCATTATTCAATATTTTCCGGCCGTGGTAGCCCCAAAAAAAGTTCAGGGGCAGCATATGCTGCCTCTGCACAGCCCCGTGCGCACGTCTATACCTATATCTAGTGATGTAAATTTGTATAATACAAATGTATAAAATCGTATTATTCTGGTAATATACACGCTGTATAGAATTATTTTATACAATGGTATAAAATCTGTATAAAACTTTTTTTTTCGCTAAGTGGTTAAAATAAGAGGTTTTCCTTATCTTTTTTTTTTTTTTTTGTAACAACCGTTAACTCAAGACTACTAAGTACTAACAAGTAACATGTGTGAAGTAAAAGTTAAAATGGGACGGCCTAATAAATATAAAGAAGTTGTTACTAAATATTTTAAGAAATCACTGACAAAAAAAGGTAAATCAGAATACTTTGAATGCACGTTTTGTTTAAATTATGTCTATCTGATTCTGAAGACGATTATTAAAAATCTATTATTTTATATTTACAAACAAAAAAAGGTTTTATTTTATTTTCTATTATTTTTTTTCTTATACTAAACAGGAAACTAAAAGACTTAAGTGTTAAAATTGTTACTATAACCTTTAAAGTATTACTATTTAGTATTTACTATTGTTACTTTTTTTACATTAAACATTTATTTTAGTTATTATTTAGAAAAAAAAACCAAAAGAGTTATTTATGTTTATTAAAATTGTTAATTATTACTTTACTTGTTGACTTTGTTATTTCTTTTGAATTTAATTTATATTACTATTTTATTTGTATTAATAAGACTCAATTTTCAAATAGGAAATGGACAATGGTTGAGTAATCAATTTTAAATTGTATAACTGTATATTATATATTTAAATACAGGATTTTATACCGTATAAAATGTGTATAATATGGTATAATACGGTATAATAGAAAAAATTATTATACCCTACTTAAATACAATAGTATTATACAAAGTTTAATACACGTATAATACAAGGTATAATACAGTATAATACAAAAATAAAATAAAATACCGTATTTTAACAACACTACCTATATCACAGTAAAATCAATACATTCATCACTCTGGAATCTACTCAGAATCTAAAAGAAATCATTTTAAAGTATATTAATATTAATCATACTCCCTATAAGTTATTACAAATGGAACAATAGTTAAGTAAAATAGTCCAGGAATACTGGAATTGGAACATTTCAACAACTTAATAATTTACAGACACTAACTATGGTAATTTATGCAGGTTTGTTTAGCTGATTCATGTTTATTAAAATATAAAGATATTTGAGAATATATCGATTCATTTGTATAGATATTCGATATTTTTTGTTGCAGTGGCGTACATAATATAAATTATGTGTCCGATAATAGTGATATGATATTGATACATTATATACGTATTATAACCATCGTATAGCACTATAGCATGCCTTAATTAGTAATGTATTGTAATATTCTGTAGTAGATGAGTGACTTATCTAAGATAACGATGCCCGACAAGAAATGGAATTATTACTACACTTTAAAAATATTTAGCTCCAGGCGTTCGATTATTACTACATGTACGGTACAACACTGCAGTGTCGCAACGTCAGACACCATTCTACACCGAAGAATTAAGTAGTCAAAAATCTCCCAGTCAGTCAGTACTTAAATGTAACACAGTTTTTGACATAGAAACCATAGAAAACGATCTAATATTTATTAAGGCCCATTTTTTTGTTCTCGTAACATACATCAAAAGTTTGGAAAAATCTAATGTGTCTCTTGTTGATTCGATAAATCTAATTGAAAATACAATTGGTCAACTTCAAAAAATACCCGGAGAAAATGGAAATAAAATAAAAATAAAAATTGATCAACTTCAACAAAAAAATAAGGGCTCATCATTTTGGAAAACGTAGTTAAAGTTTTGAATGGAAATAATGAAGTTCAACTTATAGACAATTTTTCACCGTCTATAATTACCGATTTTCAAAATGCTCCCGTGACTTTAGTTGACATCGAACGTTCATTTAGCACTTATAAAAATATATTAACAGACCGTCGTACAAATATGACACC